TTGAAACATTTCATTCAGTGCTTTCTCTTGGCATGTCACCATGTAGACACATGAATCAACGTGAATCCATTGATAAATCAGCTCGTGATCTCCAGGCCTTGCGGTTCAAAAGTTCCGCTTTTGTTGCACACAAACAAAACCCAAAAAGAGGAATTTAAACATCAGAACGTAACACAGCATAACATAACATAACATGACATGACATGACATGACATGACATGACATAACATAACGAAACAACATATCATATAACCTAACGTAACATAACGTAACCTAACGTAATGTAACCTAACACAACATATATCAACGAACGTAACGTAACCTAACGTAACAGACCGCAACAGGACACAATCTACTGAGTCCATTGTTTTTTTTGAGGCGTTTTGCACTTCTACACGGCAAACAAATTATTGCGATGTGGACAGCATGGTTTTGTTTTTGGCACCACCAAGGCATGGCCCAGAAGGGTGTACACTGCGCATACGTACGCAAAGTGATTCAGAAAATTTACCAACATCATTCTGGTGTTTTCTTGTCAACTGAATGTGATTACATTGAATGTTCATGTTTTGCGCACCCGATTTGCACTTTGTTTTGGGGAGCAGCTGGCAAAAACACCGGAAATTGAGGCCTCACCGCAGGCCTCACCGCAGGCCTCACCGCTTCGATTGTCACCAAAGGCAGGGTGCCAGAATGCGTGGATTCCACAAGGTGCAAAAGAGGGAAAAAATGACAATGTGATTTTCCAGAGAATTTAGGTCAACCTGAAAAAATCCAACATGTCTTTGACATCCATTGATGAAGAGGACTGGTTTGACACAAAAAACTGGATTGGGATTCGTATCTGTATGATTGCAAAAAACTGTTGGTGGACTTGAGGACACTTGGCACGGCAATCATAAACAACGGAGATAGATCACGTGAATGCTTTTGATGTATGCGAATTACGTGGTGACCTTGCGGCATGCAGATTTGAAACTCAAGATTTGGTTCGCAAATGCGAAGACCATGCCATGAGGTACACCTTGTACCTTGCGTGCGCCCTCTTGGGCCATGCGCTGGATCCGTACTGCGCGTATGTTCCCAGCGGCAATGTGACCACGCGCGTGGCCTGGTCCCAGTCCGACGTGAACGCGCTTTGGCGGGTGAATGGTGGAATCTTGGTGAACCACGTGCCTGTCTCTGAGTGTCTGACGACCACCACCACGGTGAGCGACACCAGCACTACCAGCTCGTCATCTTCCAGTTCGACCCAGACGAGCACGTCTACGTCCAGCAGTAGCACCACGAGTACCTCGATCACCAGTACATCGATCACAAGTACCTCGAGCACCAGTGACTTGGATGGGAATATGCAGAACTTGGTTGTATAGTAGGGTAATTTTGCCAGGGCCAGTTGGGATGTTGGATCATCCAGTTTCCAGATCTTTCCAGTTGGCTGTTCGATTGTTCAACGAAGATTTCGACACCTTTGGATTTTCTTTGGGCTTTGGATCCAAAGCTGACTTGAGGGTTTGTCCCAACGATTTTGAATTACAAATGAACATTTATCTCAAACAGGAAGATGCCGCACCGGATGCCCACGAAATGGCCATCAAAAGTGAAATTGTTATCAAGGGATGGAAATGAGAAAAGGGTTCCAAATCTTGAGACAGACCCAAATCGGTAGAGATGGCAAGAACCCTACTCTGTTGGATGGTTGAACTTGCATCAGGCATGCACTGGGCAAAATTCCTCGATTAGATCAACCGAACTCCGCATGCCTTACAGTCGATTTGTGATGGGTTGATATTCGTATTTCTCAAAAACAATGTTTCCCCAACACAATTGGTTCCCTTCAGAATTGCCACAACCATTTGGATGATCACTTGGGGGTGAAAAACTGTGGTTTCCAGGTAGCAGCTCCAGCTCCAGCACGTTGACCAGCAGCTCCACCAGCTCCACAAGTGTGACCACTAGCAGCACCAGCGTCACCAGTAGCAGTAGCACCTCGTCCTCGGTCACCAGCACCTCCAGTACCAGCGTCAGTAGCACTTCAAGCTCCAGCTCCAGCACGGTGCCGGCTGTTTGGAGTTTTTTTTTTTGATTTATTTTTTTTTGAGATGTTTTTGGGGGTTCTAGATTCTAGAAAGATCTAGAAAGAGTTTTGTCTCAAGGTTTTTGGAACCGGCCATGGTCCATCGTTTAAAGCCTCACACTGCTCAATGAGCCATTTTGGGATGTCCCAGATTATGCGACAGCCCCGGCTATAATCTTACCACTTTTAGCTTGGAGATATTCTATTGGTTTACTACAACTCAAAGCCATTGATCCCCGAAACTAGATGGGGCTTATATTGGGCTAAAAACAGATCATGACCAACTTCCATGTGTGATCCAAATCCAAACTATTGAATGCATGTTACCAGATTGCGATATATTATATCTTGTTGTGACACGATCCACTTGACAAGTCTGCAAACCAGGAAACATGGTAGTTTTTCCATGTTTTTCCTGCGGAATTCTTCGGGGTATTTCGAAGTTCCGCACTCTCTGCCAGGTGACGTCTTCCACAAGTGCCACCAGCACGTCCACGTCAGGAACGAGCAGCAGCACCAGCAGCACAAGTCTGAGTACCAGCTCCAGCACCACCAGTGTGTCGAGCAGTAGCAGTCTGACCACATCTTCCACGACAGGTGGATGGGTGGGGTTTTTTGCATTGCCAGATTTCTGGAATCGTTTTGGTGGTTAGTACTGAGTTAGTACTGAACCCCAAAAAGGGATGCAAGCCTGAAGGTTTGGTCTGTGCTGCTGGACATTCACCAACGTGTTTGGTTGATTTAGTGGGACCCCTGTCCAAAGGTGATCATTTGTCGTAGTGATATCCCCATTCCCCATGCCTATACTATCACTTGACAGATAGAACAGGGAATTCCTACTATGTTGATGGTTATTTGATATTTGCTTTTCTGTCTCTCTTGGAGACCCCGGAAATAGTGACCCCATCCACCTGTTTTTCAATACACCTGATCCAGGAATCAACTTCACCATTTCCGGAGTTCTACGACGTATCCTGCAAGGTAGTAAACTCAACAAGAAGTACTACAATAGCATTTTAAATTTGTTTATGCCTGTTTATGCCTATGAATTTCTCCCGGCTGTTCCATTTTTTGTGGTGCGCCACAGTGACGTCCACCTCAACCACAGCCACCAGCAGTAGCACCAGCGTGTCATCCACCAGCAGCGCCCCGGTGACATCTTGGGAGATTTTAGGCTCGATTTTTTTGCATGATTTTTGGAAGATTTTGGACATTTTTATGATATGTATATTGATATGTTGTGATATATGGATAGTAGCAAACTTGTTCTCGAAAACAGTTTTGTTTGGGCACCTAAAGCTTTGCAGGTAGGAGGACCAATGGTTCAGGCTTAATATCTGCGGCAGCCTTTTGCGAAAAATATGTAGAATCAAAAACAATCATCCACTTTTGGGGTACTGCATGATTTGATGCAGAGATGAGAGTCTTAAGCAAAAACCAATGACAAAACATAGGGGCATTATATGGTCATCCACACTGATGTTGCCTGAAACATATGAAGATGGGGATATTGCACTATGAACAAAACACGTGGCCACATCAAACATGGGGGAATTTATCAACAATCGTGGAGTCTAGGTTCAGCCACTAAGAATGTGAAGAATAAGCGTCTCAAGAGATCACCGCATTGTTTGGGATGGCTTGAAACCACCAAGCTGGGATGGCTGGTTTCCCGAACTCATGGACAGGGCACCCTCGAATCCCACTTTTTTTAGGTTCCCCGTGACAGATTCCCAAAAAAAGGGGGCGGAAAAACATCGTTGGTGCCAGAAGCAAAGTTCTTGTCATTGGAGGTTTGCTGCTCAGGGCTTCGCAATCACCGAACGGGACATATTGTAACATACTGTAACCAATTTATGGAAATTGATAGATGATGTAGCCACTGGAAAGTAGCCTGCCACAACACTCTTCCTGAAGACCAGGGAGTCAGCTACCAGCTGCCATGGCCACTGGCTTCTCTTGGCTGAGGTGCAACTCAAACCAGCACCAGCACGACATCATTGTCCACTTCCTCGACCACCGCAACCACAACAAGTACCTCCGTCACCGCAACGTCAAGTACCACCATGTCGACATCTTCAACGAGCGTCACAAGCACTTCCACGTCAGCAAGTAGCACGTCAACAAGCACGATGACCACATCCTCCACCACGGTGTCCGCCACAAGTACCACGAGCATTTCCACATCAACCTCGTTGTCGTCCACTTCGTCAACGTCTGTTTCATCAACATCCACATTTACTGCGACAAGCACTTCAACATCGCTCAGCGCTACAAGCACCAGCACGGTATCAACATCCTCCACCAGCGTTTCAACAACCATCACCTCAACCACCAGTATTTCAAGTAGCTCAACCTCATACACAATTACATCAACCAGCCTAACTTCTTCCACCACCATGTCAGGCAGTTCAACATCCATGACCTTTACCAGTACCACCTCTGTGAGTGAGACCACCACAAGCTTCACGGGTTCCACCACTAGTCAGACATCGACGTCCACCTTGACCTCGCTCACGAGCAGCAGCACGGGGACTTCAACAAGCACAACAGTGACCACCATAACTGCAACGACCACCACAGTAACAACCGCCACAGAAACAACTACCAGTGTTACAATCACTTCAACCTCAATGACCGCCACAAGCACAAGCTCCGGAACATCCTCCAGCACGGCTACATCGACCACAACAGCATCCATGACGTCAACCTCTTCTACTTCTGGGACGACCACATCAACATCAGCGAGCATCACAACCACGAGTACATTGACATCCTCATCAACCACCGCATCCAGTACGGTCACATCAACCACAACATCATCCATGACATCAACTTCTTCCCAATCTATGACGACCACGTCAACATCAGCAAGCGTCACAACCACCAGCACACTGACATCCTCGTCAACAACGATGTCCAGCACGGTCTCATCGACCACAACGTCATCCATGACATCAACATCTTCCCTCTCTATGACAACCACGTCAACATCAGCAAGCGTCACAACCACAAGCACAATGACATCCTCGTCAACCACAGTATCCAGCACAGTTACGTCAAGCACAACTGCAACTTCAACATCCACCACATCCACGAGCATGACTACCACTTCAACATCACTAAGCATCACAACAACAAGCACACTGACATCCTCCTCCACCACAGTTTCCAGCACGGTGACATCAACCACAAGCGCAAGCTCCACCTCAACGTCCTCCACCAGCATGAGTAGTAGTTCCACCTCAGCCACCAGCAGTAGTAGTTCCACCAGCAGCATGACGATGACCAGCACCAGCAGTAGCACCATGACCTCCACCAGCACCACCAGTAACAGCACCACCAGCACCACCAGCGCCACCTCCAGCACCAGTTGGACCACCACAAGCAGCACCTCCTCAAGCGCAACAAGGACTTCCACCAGCTCCACAGTATCGGCCAGCAGCACCACGACCAGTACCAGCAACAGCACCAGCAGCACCAGCAGTACTGAGACCTCCACCAGTAGTAGCACCACCTTCACCACCGTCACGGTGAGTAGTACCAGCACCTCCAGCACCATGGAGCGTGCCTGGTGTCGCAAGCTCTATGGCGGTGTGGAGATGGAGCAAGGGACGTGTCCTCCTGGAAGCACCCAGCAACTTAGCAAAAAACGATGGAATCACCTGCGTTGGTGGAAATATAGGCGAATTTATTCCTGGAGAAATGAGTTTGGGTAGAAAATAGACTGGTGAACATCGCATAACACCTGTCATATTGAGGATGTTCATCGAGCAAACCGGGGCTTTAATACATGGCCTAAAGCTCTCATAGACTTTGGCGTAGGTGGACGGTGGCCGAAGATAACCAGGTGGCTGTGCATTGCATGATAGGTACTAATGTTCCGGTTTCCGTTGCTCAAAACATTTGCACTGAAAGAACACCAGGGCATTCTACGAGAATTCCCCACATGCTGCTAGATGAGTCCAGTGATCAATACCATAAATGCAATGACACCATAAACATTCCAGAAACAATTCACAGCATCATCCTGAGGCACGACTACTGCTTGGCAATGGACGAGGAAGCAAGTATTGGCTGCGGCGACACTCGAGCCTTCTGCCCCACGGAGCCTTACAACTTCTCTTCCGGGGTCCCTGTGGATGCTATAACTTGTGATCGCTGCGCCATGGTGACGATGGAGAATTGGGATCAGAGGATATGGTTGGGGGGTGAAGTTCGATGGGCTCCCTTCGCCAGATTTGAAGAGGATGAGATGCAGCTTGAAGGATCCTTGACCGCTTGACCGGTGGCGGAATCGAAAGATCCAGATCCACGTCCCCCCCAAAATTGGACTCACTCTTGGCATGGCCAAAGAAGATTAGTTTGTTTAAAGTCTATTGCTACTACTCTTATTCTGATCATGATTATGGTCCTATGGTGGTTTACATTGGTTTATACAGTTATATTATGTCAGATTCACTTTATTCATGCAGCGATGGTGATGAGGATATAACGTGGGTGTCCTCGACGCCTGCGGGGTTGAGATCATGCTTCTGGGCAGCGTCCCCGTGCGCAGTGGCATGTTTGCTGAGAGTGTGAAGGCGCCGAAGGGTCTCACCACTGGAAGCAATTTTTTAAAATGGGGAGAAACATATGTTTATTTAATCGCGCCCCCATTTAAAGCCATAGTTCTGAGTATTTTGTGTACTCTTAGCCATATTTCGGGGATGAGTCTAAACTCATTACAGTAAAAAAGTGTACAATGAGATGGGTGAACATTCACAAAAAACTTCAATATGTCAATAAACTTCACAGTTTTGGCGCAACTTCAGCAGTTTCCCACTTCTCTTGGTCGATCAGTTTTGGGGCCTCGGGGAATCTCCCCAGGAGTGTTGCGCGAACAGCTGGTATGCAGTGTACTTCGGGCACTACCTACCACCTGAATCGGTGTCATGACTGCAGCAGCTTTTGCCGTGGATCCAAATATGACCCCCCAAAAAGGGTGCGGCGATTGCCAAAATTTCGGGCACTTCAAGCCAATGCTACAGACACTTTTTGGGCCATGCAAGCACTGTGGTGCTGGCATCACAGCAGAGTTTCACCCCAAAATGGGAGGCCCCCAAAAATGTACACATATAAAATATATACTGCATATGTATATAATATTATATAATCTATATTATTAATTATACATGCTGTATATATAATGTATAAACAGACAATAGACAGATGATAAACAGCATTTCGATCATCGGTTCAGCCCGAGGTCAGTATTTCGATCACCAGCTGGAGCGGTTTAGCCGAAGACCTGCGGCTGGCCACCGCGCTGCCCATCTTTCAGGCCACCACGTCCACCACGACGCAGACATCGTTGACATCGTGGCATGGCGCTGGGGGTGTGAGTTGTAATGGTGATATATTATATGACATAACACAACATA